AATGCCTCAGCTCAGATGTGACAGTTAAGTGCAACAATCCTCTGAAACAACAGCAGACCTTCCGTGGCCTTTTAGCACTCTCAAGTACGTCCTTCACACATATCAGTACTCACCACTTCGTCTGAGGTAAAGTCGATGAAGCCCGGTAAAATCAGGAAATCACTGAAAAACATAAACAAAATGCAAAGAGTGCAACTTAGGAGAGCTGCCAGGTTTAAAGCATACACACACACACACACACACACAGACACACAAACACACAAACACACACACACACGGCACTGAAGAGTTCCTAGTGTTTAAACCAACATGAATTGCCAATATTTGTAATAAATTCTCTCCAAGTAAAACAGAAGAGTGAAAATGTTTCCTACATTATGAAAAGCCCAAAGTAAACAGGGTGAATTCAAAAGGCAATTCATCGTGAGCACTAGTAAACAAGATCGTGTTTTAAAAGAATAACTGGGTAAAAGCAGATGGGATCATATCAATAACAGAAAAACTTCAATGAACCTTAATTAAATATTTGTTAGACATTTATTTAGCCTGTCTAGTCTGATCTACTCATTTCCTTCTGTTAAACATTTCGACAAAGGACAACGTCAGCGCCTGCAACCTCTTGTTGGATACTCTTTTATGTCTCTTAATGTTTCCCGGAATATTTCCAAGTGCTATAGTGGCTGAGTACAGACACTGAGAGCAGCTGGGTGCGTCCGGTGCTTGATAAAAAAGCTACAGTTGACCTCTTTCAGCTTTTGGCCTGTATAAACACAATGAAGAGGTAGAAGTAGGCGTCAGGCGAGCAAGAGCTAGACACAGGAATGGTGTGTTTGTTTTTAAACCCGAATCTGTATGTATTTTGTGGCTTTTGCTTATGGGTGTGAAAACAGGCAGGGAACAGACGGAGCAATAAGGGAACCTTTGTGTGTCTTGTGGATGGAGGAAAGCGGAGCGGAAAGTAACGCGCAAGAGTGTGTGGAACAGGTGAGCAACACAGGTGGGAATAACAGAGTCTAAATAGGAGGGAGGAAGAGTTTTTAATAGTCCCACTGGATGGGACAATTCAAGGGAGGAGTCCTGCTTGTTTTCCAAACTCCCACAATCATCAATGTTGATACAAGCAGGAAGCCCGGCAGACATCTGCTAGTATTTACCAGCAGCCACAAACCTCAGCTGCAGCACACAGGCTGCACCTACTGACAGTCAGCACTACAGAGCTCATTATGTTGGCTTTGAATTGTAAGGAAAACACTGGCTTGGTGATGGCTTATTATGGTTTTCATTTGAATGTTAAATGTAGACAAATGCATGATGCTAAGCAGGAGTGTTTCAAAGTACAACCAAAAGGCCACAACTGCTTCCCCCTGCTTTTACAGATGCCCATCGTTGCCCTTGCTTGGGCATATAAAAAAAAAAGGAAAATGTACATCATAGTATTCCCACACCCAAAAAACATCAAACCATCTGAGGGCACGGCACCCAGCCTTTTGTAAATGTAGCAGCAAGTTTAACAGGGTGAATCTCAATGAGTCATTTTATATATTTTGAACGGAAAATGACACAGACAGACTATTATTACACTACAGTTGACATCAGGGTTTATTTGCTACAGCAGCTCTGTTGTAAGGGCAACAACAAGCAGAAATGTGCGCTCTTATTCCAGCCATCTGTGGTACACATTAAATTATTATTTAACAGGAGTGGCTTTGGGTTTGCCAAGTAACTCACCCTGTAAAAGGTACGGTAAGTTTCATGGTCATTAAATGGTACAGTCTGTGTTTGCTGAGAAGGCGGCACAAGGGACGCTTTTAACCTTGATTACTTTTGGAGATATTTTACAGTGTCTGTGTATGAAATACAGTTCAACACTATATTGTACTGCCTCATAATGTGGAGTTAACAGCTAAGAAATCTTATCATTCACCCAACTCGGTCTATAGTCAGACAAAAACACTTGTACACCTTCACTTTCTAGGACATTGCAGTGAGCGTTGACAGAAATATGGAGATAAAAAGTAGATTTAATTACAGTAAGAGTGTTAGCAATTACACCCAGGGCATGATTTGTGCAGCTGGTTGAAGGTCACAATACTGCAGGAAGCGGTTTTTCTCTCACAAAAAAAGGTGTTTCTGTCTTCCCGTGTCTGTATCTCACTCTCAGTGGGTGGATTACTTTCTTTCTCCTCCAGCTAAAACATAAAAAGAAACTGAAATTATTGTGTTTTTAGATCTAGTACCTGCCAAGTGCATTGGTAGGAGTGAATAATGAAATAGTTGTTAATAAAATCTAGCTTCAAAAGTTGAAACTTTCACACTATTATCTTCAGTAATAAGGGGTTGAGAAGGAGGACAAAGGGCTTGACAAGAGTGATGCACACTCTATCATCATCAAACCAACCTCATCCAAACCAACTCCTCCTGCAATTCACATGATGTCAATTCAGGCCCATCATGTGGGAAAACTTTCCTTTGGTCGTGATGCACTTCATTACAGTGTGGAGAGGTTATTCAATCACACGGGGACACACTCAGACACCATTACGGTTTCTATTCAATTAGCTTATGGAGGAGTTCGATATTTAGAGTAAATAATTGGTGGATTTTCAGCCAATAAAACCTTCCAAGTAAGCTTGAATTGCTTCAATCGAAATGTAGTTTTGTCATGCAGACGATGATGCAGTACAGACATTTATAGACATTAACTAATGGTCTTTCAGGGAACGCTGAGAGGGCATCTTAAGCATTGATTTTAGTGGTTGTTAGGACCTGAGGCAAAGAGGTAAAGCACTGAGATGAATTTAGAAGAGCGTTTTAGAAGATAAAATGGCATGCTCCTCAGTGTCCAACAACCACTGCAACTGAGTTGCACAGAGCTTTGCTTCATGTTATTTATGATTACAAAAATAAGATAGTGATTAGATGGATTAGTAAAGAAAATAGTTTCAGTCAAAATGCATGATGTGTTCAATTACGAAGCATTTGTCACCAGAATGCTTATCAGAGATGCGTGAGGTTAAGAAAGAGGTGAGGAATTAGTGGTCAGTTAGTAATTTTATCACAGCAAAGTATTTGTCAGAAAGGGCATGAGCTGTTCTGTAATGAATGCTGCATTCACAGGACAGGTCGTGCACTTTGATGATTAGTTGAAGTAAATAATGCAGTTATGTCTGCTGGAAGCAAATTTGAACCCCATGACCAAGATCAGGTTGAGCATTCCAACAAGCCGTTCGTTTATCTCCTGCACTTTCATGATTTCAGATTGAGATTTTGGCATGGTTGGTTTCAGCTGAAGTAAAGTTGCTTTAATCATTTGCTTCCCCCTCGTGAATTCACTATTTGGAGAGACAGAGGATTCGTAATAGCACAGTTTCAAAACAGTTTGAATAGGACTGTTTTACTCACTTGTAAGTCAACCCATCTCCTTTAGAGCATAGCTCTTCAGCCGTATGACCATCGGAGACAACGCACTGTTGGTCAGATCTGCTGATTCAAAATGTGTCCATTACAAAGCACTGCTACGTACACTTGACCCATTATTGCGCGCAGGTGAGGTTTTAAAATTAGGAGACCTTACTTTGAATTAATTTCATTACTTTACTAAGATTTTCAGAAAATCAAAGTTCATTACGTGACTTACTTGTATGTAAGGCCATCTCCAATCGAGAAGAGCTGCTGAGCTGAGAGTCCATCTTCAGGGACGTAGCCTGTGCCACCGCTGATTAAGTAATCCGCCATGCTGCCAAATGACAAGGACAGGCAACTTCAATCAACTGTGCGTCCCAAGACACAGATACAGATGTTTACTGCAGCAAAATGATGCTCTGCAATCACACTAGACATCCACTTTAGTGACCTTCTCACAGGAAGACATAACCATAGCAACATCAACATTTTCCCACTGGCAGGTCAGTGCGCCTGCGCGGCAGGTGCACAAACCATCCATTAATAATGCAATAATAAACCTTGCAACAATATTGCACACATTTAATAATTGCTTTTGCGACCACTGCATCGACATTACAGCAGGTAAATCTACCGTTAATAGACATGAGATAACACAAGCTGTAAGAAACCCTGTGATTTTGTTCTGGGAGAGAGAAACGGAGCAGGTTTTCTGTCTCTGCACTAAAATATTAAGACAGTTCGCATTTAAAAACACAAACCGACCGCATATGACAACAGTGCAGCAGTCCGCGCACGGCCGAGTGAGAAGCAGAATATGGCCGAGTGACCCACTAACATTTAGCTGAACCATTACAGCTAGTGCTGCGCGCTTTCCATTTTAAAACTATAAATACATATCGATATAATGTGAACGAATAGTCATCGATACGCTGTCCTCAAAATGTCTCATCATCTCTCCCGTTGAGTGGTAAAGTCCAATTACTGGCCCGGTGACCTACATTAGGTCGCTTCTAGCAAGCAAACATGATTTGCTTGCACTGCTGCACACTCGGAGTTAACTAAATATGCCACTTCAGACGCGTCTTTATTGTTTCTGCTGTGAAGCGACATCGCAGCATCCTTTCCTGCTGATCATTAGCCATGCTAGTATGTTAGCATCCTCACATCTCTCACCCCATGAGCCCGTGGGTTAACCATCACTGTTTTGGACAGTTAGAAAGACAATAAAATGTCATTTATAGAATTGGTTACCATTACCTCGAGGTATTTTAGAGGAATACAGTGGATAAATCAGCAGTAGAAGTTGAGATTTTATATTTTTGTGTGTTTAATGAATGCCGAATATTAGAGTGGCTCCTTTTAATATACTTTATGATCTGACATTTTTTTTGTACCGCATGTGACGTCTTTAGAGAACAAAGGCAACACTATTTTGGCAGAGTTTCAAAGCGAGTTTGGTGTCACCTCAGGCGTGGGTCGGGCTTCATGCCAACAACACCCATGTGCACGCAGGTTGATATGACTGTATCTAACATTGTCAGGAACGGAGATGTCAGGTGATGTGCATTAAGTTAAACAGCAATGGTAGAGTTCAAGTTAAACTAAATAAACACGTTAACAATTTGAGGCTCGGTTAATAATAGCTGTATTGTTGCCAAACCGTTAGCCAGAATATTGTACACCGTTACCGTTACAGCAACCAGCTAGCCAATATGGCTGGTACTCAACCTAACAAGCATCCAGTGATGTTAAACGAAACATTAACAGGTAAGTTAGGTGAAACCTTGTGTAAATCACTAGTCAATGTTTCCTCACGCACAGACATTACCTAATTCACACGCTTTACCTCGTTTTAAATCGTCACTTGTGTCTCCATAGCGATGGCTTAACGATGCATGATGCCGCTAACAGCACGATGCAATTCAGCGTTAACTCATCGAAATGTATGCTGGCATAAACAAGAAGGTTGAGCACATACCCCATTAACGCTACCACAGCACTGCCCCGACTGAGTGCAGACGTGTTAACAAGCCTCTAAAACAGAGCTACGCGAACATGAAACTGAACTTTGTTGGCAAACCAGACACGAGCTGTGTTCAGACTACGTTCAGACATGTGGGGGAGCAACCGTTAGCATTTAGCATTAGCAGCTTGGCTTGACATACGGAAAACGCTCGCAACGCTTTAACGCAAGCTACGGCACCCTTAAATCGACAACAGGGTGTTTTGAGCTATGTAGCTTTCTAGCTACCCTTAAACTCAAAACATATCTCTCTCCCTCCCTCCCCCAGACAGAGCAACGCTAGCTAGCTACCTTATGGAGCTGATGCCCACGTTGACCAAAGGGAAGCAACTTTCCAGCTGTGACTCTACAGCAGTCAGGCTTTTATTTTTAAGGGAAGAAAAAAAAAAAAAAAAACAAAGCGATGCACAGTAATTCCTTCTACCTCGATGGATGCACTGATCGTCCGTGGCTCGGAGATGTAAAAGAAGGGGCTCAGCAGTAAAGTGAATGAGAAGTGATTGCCTGTCGCAGCAGACAGTGCGTGTTGCTGTTATGTACTAGCAGCGGCGGCGTCACATCCCCTCTCCTCACAGAGGCGTGTTTAACCTCCCGCTTCTTGTTGTTGTTGCTGCTTGCTGCTGCTGCTGCTGTGTAATCAGGATCAATGGTGGAACCACCAAGGGTTAAGTGTGCAGCTGCAGGAGTAGTTCACGTGGAAGTCTCACTGCTGAAATGTTGGCAGACCGGTTTATCAGAGCCCACCAGTTCATTTGCAATCCACTGTCAATAGGTCATGCGTGGTGCACCAGCTGGGTAGATTGTTAACAGTTAAAAGGATTCTCATCATTTATTTTAGCTGTGTCAATTTAGTAAACCTTTACTATGTACATTTACTCTGGTACTGTACTTGAGTGGTTCTAAATGCTTCCTTATCCTTCCACTTTATTTAAAATGTAAATATGGTGCATGCATTGTCACATATATAACTTTAATTATTATCATTATGAAACAGTACATGCATGTGTAGTTAGAATAAGTCCACCAAAATGCTGTTTACATACAATAATAGTCTGATATTATAATGTATAACACCGACAGGGACCATATTACTTTTGATACTTAAAGTACATTCTGTTGATAATACTTAGGTAGATTGACTTGAGTAACATTTTAAATGTATAGTTTTTATACTGTGGTATTGCTAATTTTAGTAAAGGATCTGAGCACTTCCTTAACCACTGTGCTTTAGTCATTAGTTCCTGGTAAAATTTGGATTTAAACTGTAAAGACAAAGAGTTAGAGTAAAATACTGTGTGAGAGAGATACATTTTAACCTTTTAAATTATTTTTATTTACTATAAGACATCCTCATGTGTTTTTTGCTGAACATTATTGCCAGAGTTAGGTGCATGTACAGGGTTGAATGGTTATCCGTGACAGTACATGTGCAAGACTTTGCAGTATGAAATCACACCATCAGAACACAATGCCTATGAGTGAATTGATTGTCTACCCAAAATCAAAACTTACATGCCTTAATTTTCCTTAACTTACAGAAACGTTGTGCTGAATTTAAGCAGTGCTTTATTGTGGTCACATGTAAATCATCCAAACTGGATTAAGTGTGCTGAAAAGACAGCACCAACCTCATTTCTATTCACATGATCAATTGCAAGAACTACGGAGCCACATGTAACAGACCGTAGCTCAGGGTGACTTAATGAAAATACTAGCTTCTCACATGTCATTCATTATTGTTATTTAAAGTAAGATAAAATCTTGATATGGATCAAATTCACTGTCTCTTTTTTGTTCTTAAGTAGATATAGCGATAAAACGACTGTTACTACTGTTAATTTTGTTTACAAGGAAACTAGAGCTCTATTTTAGGCTTTACCAACTATACACGGGGTCACTGAGGAGAATGACAACAGTTAAAATTACACACATCTTCTCAAAACTTATTTCATTAGTTACCGTGAAATTTAATATGTTTTATTTATCGTCTTTTAAGAATAATACAAAACTACACCATCATGCTTACAGGAAATAAATATTGGACACTGACTTTGCTTTCTGAATAAGACTGCGCACACACACAGACACTGTCTCTTTCCAGCATTGCAGAGCGCACACGTGCACACTTGCAATACTTGACAGAATGTCATTGTGCTGCTCTTGTCATCGAGTTGTCAGCGGCACCAACAGATGTCATGACAGACAATCGCCATTGCTTTCTCAACTAAAAATATGACTGTCAGGATCTTTTATCACCTCTTTTACAGCTTCATGGAGCAGAAGATCAGAATACAATCTTTCACTACCAATAAAGGTTTAGTCATATATGCTGCTAAAAAAGGAGGGACAAATTTGTCCTTTTAACCACATTAGGAGCTATTTTTACTTGAATTTCCGGCAACTAAGTCCATTAGTCTTCTTCCAAAAGTGCAATCACCTTAAATAATCTTGCATAATCTCTTGAATTTGTAACAGGGCTGTTGATCAAGGCGTAATAAAAACAACTGCACATCCCTCAGTCAGAAGTTAGGGATTATGATTCAGAGTTGGGATTTACCATCACTTTCAATATGTCATTCACATATGTTTGACATAAGAACATGTTTGTTTAAGTTGAACCTGCAGCGTTTTGTCTTTTTTTGTGTAACCTTAGTACTAGTCATGGGGGGTGGCATTTCCGGTCATATTGTAGTATGAGTTGTACAGTATATCAATTATTTCTTGCAGGGATTACATTACAGTTCAGATATTGAATTCATTAGAGAATCATGTGGTCTTCCCTGTAACCCAATATGCTTCACATTCCTCTCTAGTTCTATATTAATCTTAGGTTCCTAGATGTGTCTGCCAAGGTGACTCAGGGGGATCCGTTTTCCCACTCTGTGTTTGTTTCAAATTAAATGTGGGTCATTGCAGATAGGGGTCAGTGGTTCTTTTATGCACTGTAGCTATTCTGAGCAGTTGATTCAGCCTTGTTTATCCTCCCTGCAGCATGCTCGCTCCTGCCTTGATGTTTCATCGCAGAATTGTTGGTGCACACACAAGGGGCAGAGGGCCACATTAAAAATAGCACCTGACAACTTAAGATGAGCCTTTTTCTTTTGTTTGTTTTAGCATCTCCTCATAAGCCAAAAGTATTATATACAGGGCCTTCAAACAACTCAAAAGTTAAGTGTATCATCCAGAGCAAGGGATTTAACCTCAAAGGCATTTGCAAACTGATCTAAATGCAAGTGTGTGTGTGTGTGTGTGTGTGTGTGTGTGTGTGTGTGTGTGTGTGTGTGTGTGTGTGTGTGTGTGTGTGTGTGTGGAAGTGTAAACTGACCCGACGGCATGAAGCTAATTTACATGCATGGCCTTATGAAGGCACAGCCAGTGAAAGCTAGAGGGCTGACAACACATTGTCATTTTATTTCACACTGGATATTGGCTCTGAGGTTTGAAATTATTGTGGCATTCTTCTATTAATGCAGAGTACATTTTTACTCTTGCTTTTGCACTTGAACATGTATAATTGTAGGACAAAGACTGATCCTATATCTTTAATTCTGGAAAATGTTTGACCTTTTAATGCATTTTTTGTTGGACTCTCACACTTGCTGGTAGGAAATTAATTCTACACCAACAAATAGCTACAAAACCAATTTCTGACACATTCTGTAAAGATAATAAAACAAACAGACGTATTTTAACCTCACTACTGCTTGAGTTATACCTAAAGGTGGTTGATTCTCCATTTAATTTACCAGCAACTCACCTCTCTGGGCCTAAACCGGCCTGGATGCGTGTTGCACTGTATCTCTGGGCTGCAGTTTCATGTCCATGGGAGGTTTGCCGGACATAATGTTCACCTTCCCGAGGCGAAACATTGGTACGAGGGGGCTGAGTGTCTCCGACAATTCTCCGATAATCCACCTGCTGGCTCTCCCTCGCTCCATCTGCACAAAAGTGTTCATACCCATACCCCTCCATCGTCCACCCAAGGTCAGTCTCTGAATCCAGTGGCCCTTTCGCCTTGCTGGGCAGCTTTTCAACAGTTGCTTGCTTTTAAACAGAATTCCCAAAGTAAGTGAAAACATTCAACAGCTGAAGATTACATTTGGGTCAAAGCAGAAGGCTCCTCGTAACACTGAATTTGTATGAACTTCATAACCCAAGTTTGGTTAAAGTTAAGGAGGTCGAATTTGTAAACAAATGCCAACTCAAAATTTGTTTCTGAATTCCAGTGTCCAGCTGCCTTCAAGACTAGATATGGAGCTTCATAGGTGTTCCCACAGAGAGAAAAACGGAAGAAAAAAAAAAAAGAGACCAGTGTCAGGCTACTCCGTCTGCCCCTGCACAGGATGCACCTGCCTACAAAAAGGCACCAGCCACCTCTAGGCGTGTCAATAGAGGGCGTCACCAAGGAGATTCTCCCACTGAGAGGGTGTCGCCGTGGAAATGATGCCAGCAGCAGAGCGTTGTTGTGGAGAGGCTGTTGTGCTGATGCCTTCGAAATGGTGAAGGAGATTTTTCTGTCATGAACGGCAGAGGGTAATGGAAGGGCTAGATGTAGCCCTGTACTGTACTTATACGTAGGCTAAAGCAGTTATTGCCCTAAGCATTTCTCTACAAGTTGAATGGAGTGAGTGGCACTGTCCTGCTGAGTGCTCCCTATGTCTTGCTCCCCCTTTATGTATGGGTTAATCCTGCCCTCCATCAGTGGCACCACGGTGCTTTCACAAAGAGGATTTCAGAATTAGAATGAACAGCACTAGAGATGAGCTCTGCAAAGAGAGCAGCCCATTTTTACAGCAAGATCATCACTATGGTGAGTTATTTTTTATTGGTCTCAGTGGGGCATGTACTAAAACAAAATACATACAGCAAACATAGCATTTCTGAAAAGTAAAGTATGCAGACCATAATTGAGCAAAACTGGGGCCAAACAAAGCAATTCCCTTTTAACAAAAGCAAAGGTCTGACCTCTGCACTTCCTAAAAAAGTCAGAGGCTAAGGTTAAACCCACAGTCTAACACAACATCTGCTTGTACCTTGACACTGATCAGTGAAGCTTGCACCAAAGTGTCAAGAATGTTACATAATCGCTCTAAGTGAAAGAATATTTCAAAAGAATGCCCTGTGGTCTGCAAGCATGTTTTTACACCACCCCTTTCAGATTGGTCCTTTATGGCACCAGCGTGCAAACTCATGCCTTTCGGGGGACGTATGTAGGTACAGTGTATGCAAAGTACTGAATTTTGTTTTTGTGTGAAACAGTATAAATCAGTGGAAAGGATTTCCCCTCCACACATACACCCATGTGGGCCGTTACTCTCCTCAAAGGGATCACCTCCAGGTGACTGACTGTTTGTGACAGTTGGTGAGACGTTAAGATGGAAAATCCTCTTAGCTGGTCCT